CAAGTGGCCAAGAATGCATAAAATTACATAATGGCGTATGCCTCAACAATCAGAAGACATTAAAAAGAATAAAAATAATGTCTTCCAAAGAATGATATTGTCAAAAGTTTAAGGAGCCTCTAAGGATAAAATGATTCTTAATAAATTACCTTGTTGCCAATTCAAGAAAGAAAAGGCTTAAGAGTAGGCTGGTGTCTCTTTACTTTTGGCTAACTCAAAATAGAAGATATTCCTAATAAACCAAGTCAAATTAAATAATACGCTCAAGAAATAAATTTTATCATTTACAAGAGGCTACTAAAGATGAATGCTACCAAAGTTCCATGATCAAATACGGTTCTCCAAATTTAAGATTTTAAAATCAATTGTCAAACACAACAAAGTGGTATAGTTGAGAACCTCAGAAAATCAAACTTCCCCAACAAGTTATAACATCATAGAGTAAAATCATTAGGAAATTAAAGAATTGACTTATAGACAGATATAATATATTATCAATCAGATCTTCTATGATCATAATTTGGGCATCTAATCGTGTACAAAACTAAGGCAACTTATTAATTGAATTTTTGAAAATCAAATCTAATGATAGAGACTAGCAATGCTGTAGATTTTGAGATCATATCATTGAAATTAGAGACCAATTCAACAGCAAGGAAGGATTGTCAATCAGACACTTCAAGGTCAAGATCAAAACAAAAAATTTGGACCATTGGATTGCTGTAAGAACTGGATAAGAATGACTTCTAAATTTTGAACTTATTTTAGATAAATTTTTGTTTTGAATTTAAATTTTGTCGAAAAATCATGACATGAATCTTTTAAATCGTTATGTAAATGCTAGATCATCCCCTGGAAACGACATGTATTGGCCTGAATACAATGAAAAGTGTTTAATCAATACCCGGTTGTAGTGTAAACAAACAAGAGTTCTCACATTATAGACGGATGCGAGCAAGAAATTTAGTCAATGCAATTAATATTAAAATAAGATCATGAAATATTAATGTAATTAGTAGATATTATGGTTCATAAGAAGATAAATATCGTATACATTCAAAAAGCTAAATGGATTAGAGAAAAAGC